CCCCAAAACCCCAAAACCCCAAAACCCCAAAACCCCGTTTCAAACACAGATGATTGAATGTAGCGATCGATATTTTTGAATCAAGATTTATGCGCTCTCACCCTTAACAAAAGTTTCTTCCAGAGGGAGCTTAGAGGAAAGAGTGAAGATGACGTATGGGATATCTCCAAGTAATTCTCCAGAATGCTTGTACTGTTGAGCATTCCACTCATCAACAAATCCTGTAGCATCAGATTCAACTCTGTCTTTATAGTGAGCTAAGGTGTTGTAGACAATTTTGGCAACAGTAATAGGATTAGAAATCTTGGCTCCCCAGTCAGCAAAGAGCTTGGCAACTTGGACGTTGAAATCTCCACAGTCCTTGATGCTATTGGGGACATCTACGAAGAGAGCTCCGAGGTCAGTAATGATATCAAGGAGATCGAACCCTTTGCTAATATCAGCGACGAACTTATCGATGTCTTGAATAATGGCATCGGCATCGGTGATGCAGCTCTCTACATCAGCAACTTCGCTTTGCAAAGCAGAGCTAAGGAACCCATCGAGGAAGTATCCTACGTCAATTGGAGTAACCTTCAATGGTTGTGGAGAAGAGCACAAATCGAACAGGACATGGGGGATATCTCCCAAGTATCTTCCAGATTCTTCAAATTGGCCATCGTTCCAATCTTGTACGAAGGTGTTAGCATCATTTACTAATTGATCCCTGTATTTGAAGAGGGCATAACCAACCTAGGAGCAATATTAGAGGAAAAGGTAAAATTTTAGTAACAACAATTTCTAGAAGACCTTTACTTACAATTTTAGCAATCTTCAGAGGATTGGAAAGGGTATTTGTCCACTTTTGGAAAGTCTCATCAACAACAGGAGGAAGGTTTTGGCATTCTTGAAGGCTCTTTGGGATCTGAATGAAGAGAAGTCCAATATCTTGGATTAAGGAAGCGAGATTAAAGCCTTTGCTAAGGTCATCTACAATTTTTCCAACAACAGATACAACACCGTCAGCATCAGTGAGACAGTCATCAACTTCACCGATTTCAGCATTTAAGGCTCCTCTGAGGAATCCGTCAACAAAGTGAGCAGCGTCAAGTGGGCCAACACCAGCATTTGCTTGTGCAAATGTAGCGAAAGAGATCATTAGGATCAGAACAAGAGCTTTCATGTTTATGATACTAGTAATATTAAGTTATATACCAAGCCTAATTTTATCATACTTTTCAACCAACATCAGGCTTAAAGGGGTTTTGGGGTTTTGGGGTTTTGGGGTTTTGGGG